GGGGGGGGGGAGGGGGACGGAGTAGAGGCCGGCGAGGAAGGAGGAAGGGCGGTCAGACGCAGGGACCAGGGGAGAGGCGGGCAGCAGGGAATGGGGAAGGGACCCAACAGAGCCATCGACAGATGGGAGCCCGAGGAAAACACACCTGCCGCTCCTTGGCGAAACGCTCGAGCATGCGGTCTTCCTCGGTCATGTTGGCGTCGGTCTCACCGAAACGCCGATCCTTGAAGCCACTCTTGTGGTTCCGGGACTTGTATTCCACCAGGAGCGTCTCCTTGCGCTGCAAGTTGGCCAAAGACGGGAAGGAACGGGGGAGAGGGAACGAGAGAGAGAGCGGGGAAGGAGGGAGGAAGAAACATGGGCAGGAAGCACAGGCGTTTGGGGGGTGTACGTACGGTCTGCTCGGAGCGAGAGCGGGCCACAGTCGGCCGGCCAGTCTCACCGGGGCGACGACGACCCAGAACCTCGAACTTGGTTTTGGTCACCTTGCGCTCGAAGGGGTTCTCCGGAGCAGCCACGGCGGGACCGGCGCCAGCGCCCAGGCGCTTCTGCTTGGTCTTGGACACGCTGTTGAGGTGTGTGGGCGCACATACACACACACACACACACACACACACACACACACACACACACACACACACACACACACAAGCGAGTAGGCAGATGATGGGGAGGGCAAAGGCAAGAGTGGGTCAATGCGCCGCAAGTAAGAATCGAAGATGAAAGGAAACAAGCAAAGAGGGCCGAGACGAACCGGCCGATCGCGCCCGCCTCGCGAAGCGAGTGCTTGAGGCGGGTGAGCGCAGAGCCACCGCTGCGCTTGGACATTTTGGAGGTTGAGCGGAGCACGCGGGCAGGAAGGCGGGGGGGGCGCGGGGTGCTGCCAAAGGACAATCAGGTGAACCAACAAGGGCCGAGGGAGCAACACAGAGTCAGACCCAGGATGTGGCAACAATGTTCGGCGGACGGCAGGGCCGGAAAGCATATGCCCATACCTAATCGACGCTGGAACCGAGAATGGTGGGACCGAGAGGGGGGGGCGATGGGCAAAGAGAGTGGAGGGAAAACGGGAGAAATGGAGGGAAGGGGGGGAAGAAAGGGGAGGTGCTTATGGACGGAGCGGGGTGTCCCGCTCTCCATCGGGCTCAGCCGCCGGCGCTTTCAGGAATACCTCTCCCCAGGAGCGGGCCAGGCATGGGACACAAGATCCGCATGGGGGGGTGGGGGGCGGGGGGGGAAAGGAGGGGGCACGCGCGTGCGCGGACACGGCCCCCGCGGCCGGCCACCCGGCGCCCGGGCGCGTTCGTTCCCTCGCGGCCGCGTGCAGCCCGCGCCCCCGGGGGCGCAGCGAGAAGAGCAAGAGATCCGAAGCGCGGGGGGGGGCACACGCCTCATGGCTCCCGGTGCCATGTGTTCCCCGGCGCTCGTCACGAGAGCATCTCGGGGAATCACGCTCCAAGGGGAAGTCATTCACCGCCCCGCTCGCGGGCTCTTGCTGCCTGGCCGGTGCCGGCTGGAGCCGCGCTTTCCGGCCCCCGGGCAGAGGGCGGCACATCTGTGAATGCCCATGGTCGAGCCCACAATGATCCTGCCCAACCCCCGCTCCCCCCCCCCCCCCCCCCCCTGCCGCCGCGACCCCCGCGCCTTCGCGGCGACCACCAGGCCACGGCGTCGCGCTCAGGCGAGCA